GCGTTTTACGATAATGAGTGATAATATCAAGGCCGTTTGGTCTGGAGCGCTTAATCGCGCTGATTATTTTTATGTGCGTTTTGTACGTGGTCTCGACCAAAGTTATGTCAGTCAAGTAATCTGAAACGGAGTACAAAATATGCCTTTTTAATAGAATCCCATTACGGTCGGTACATACCAATTATAAAAATACCGGAGCTTTGAGACTCAACATGGTGTGGTCCACAATACAACTTCAACTTTCACATTTGGCTCGGTAGCTGCTACGAATAGCAGCAAACACAATCGTTTTCTGCTGCTATCGGTACTGCCTGAACTTATTGCTGCCATGGTCCATCGACCCCGTGTGGTCCTGTATGATGCAACGAATGGGGATCACACGGCTTCTGGCTATGTGGACCCTATCTCGCCTACTGAGAGCGAGGGCGAGGAGGTTTACAACCCCATCACAGGCATGTTCGAGCGCGTGGGGTTGTCGCGATACTCCAAGTCAGGATTCCGTAACCAGATAAACCAGTATGCTTTCCAAACGACACCTCCACAGCCCGAGGTTATCTACCCAGATCGTGTCCGCAGATGCGCGTTCTTGCGGGAACCAACGACACAGATTATGCTAGGTGCCATTGCTGGTCTGCTACTGGGTATGATTCTAGCCAACCTGGACGTCTCGGACAATGTCGGCACTCTCGTAAATTTGCCGGGAAAAGTGTTTCTCCAGGTCCTCAAGTGCTTCGTGATCCCCATGGTATTCACAAGTTTGTCCACAACTGTTGCTGACATCGTACTGCTCGGAAAAGTATCAATCGTCGGTACTCGCACAGCTTTGATATTCACGGGCTTGTCTTTCACAGGATCGGCGCTGTCACTCTCGATCTCAATGCTTTTGCGTGATCTTGTGCCACACACGAAGGGCGTAGTCGCGGAGACTTCATCGGCTTTCTTCAGTATTTTGTGCGAGAATGGTAATTTCTTCACGTACAACTACACAGGCGCAGCCTTGTGTTCTGCGACTTCGCAGGACGGCACGACGCGGTTCGAGTTTTTCGACCCCACGAGGGTCCTTCTGAATGATGGCACAGCTAGTACCGCAGCTACCGTGTCGATGCAAATCACGGATATCCTGAACCAGCTCGTTCCGTCCAATATTTTCTCGAGTTTTGAGCAAGATCTGATACTGAGTGTAACCACGTTCGCCATCGCCTTCGGAGCTGCTGCAGTCAAAACTAGTTCTCGCGAGAGCAGCCCCTTACTTGACGTACTCAAGCAAATGAACAAGGTGTTCTTTCGAGTGATTAGTAAGGCAATCGACTGGAGCCCGCTTGCCGTGATGTCACTCGTGGCCGGCTCGTTATCAGGACAAGAAATGCTGGGCGAAGCTGCACGACACGTGGGTATACTTGTGCTGTGCACGGTCCTCTCGATAGTGATCTTTGAGCTGGTTTTCTTCCCCATCTTGTTGTGGGTGACGCTGCGGAAGAATCCTTTCCCATACATGCGCGCCATGCTCCCAGCAGCGATGTTTGCACTGGGTTCATCGTCATCACTCGTGACACTGCCAGTGACTCTGCGGTGTGTAGAGTCCACTCGCGAGGTTCCTCGTAGCCTTGTGCAAGTTTGGTGGTCACCATCGGCTGCATACTTTCACAAAGAACCGGATCGGCCCATTTATTTTCCATGGGGGCTTAAGTTATCTTGGTCTTCCAACAAGCCAAGAATTGGCAGTGGCCGTTAGGTTTGCCTGCAGCTTGTTCTCATTTTGCTTCTTTGGTCAGGGCCTAGGCTTCTTATGGGCACGGCACCCATTTTCCAAATTCAAGCCGTCGGCAAGGGATCCTACTTCGAATCGTGGTCGAACGATTTACACAGCAAGGAAAGATTCCCGAGAGCAA